ATACGCGATGCCCACTGTCTCAGAACAATACACAAGTTATTCTTCTGCATCAGGAAATTGTAATTTATTATCTTCATTTACACAAAACGCTACGTCAACGTACATGTTTAATGATGTACGGCAGCGGCAAAGAAATCATCAGCAAATTGAAGAAAATCACAATTCATTTCAAGATTCTTTACAATCAGATTCTATTAATAATACTAATCCTGTATACGAACCTCGTTCTCCAACACAATCTTCTTCTTCTTCAATTGAAACAGTAGAGTCTGGTGATAGTAATAGTTCCACGGTAACATTAAGTGGACTCTCTAATCCAATAACCACCTCCTCACCTTTTTATTCGATTTTTTCTGAACAAAAAGGTTATTGGATACCTAACTTGTCGACTGCGTCTAATGATGATGAGTCCGTATGGCAGAAGTTTCAACCAGATCAACAAAGATGGCGTCTTACGGCCGCTCCTTCAGTATGATGTCAGTCGAGAAAATTAATGACATTATCCATGAATTTTGCATGGCCATAATTTTACTTATGACCGTTTTGTTAGCCGTCTTTGTTTGTTAACCATCCTTGTGTTGGGACGGTTGGGACATCTTAAGGGGCATGTCCATGTCATCTTCCATATTTTTATAATTGTACATATTATTAATATTCAAAGAAAATTAGACCATATATACACATTTTATATTTATAAACCTTCCATTTCCGCACGTTATTTATTTTTTTGTTAATGAATTTTTCGTTCACTTATTCGTGTGTGTATTTCGATCAACAACTATCAATTCTCAGAACGAATTTCCTTTCTCTTATAAATTCGATGTCTTTTTTCGTTCTGAAATATCGTTTCTACTTATCAATTTTCGAACACTCGGACTTTAAATTTTTTTTTCGTAAACAAGCATTGGAAAATATATGATCAATTCGTATTATAACATTATGGGGAAAAAGTGTTATGACTTAGTTAATTTAAAAGTAAGATAATTTTAATTATTCAAATAGATGGCATATGTTTCTTTCATTTGTCGTAATATATGAATTCTAATTAAGTACGGATACTCATTTACGGTTGTTTGTCAATGAAATTTTGTGTTTTTTTTTTTTTTTTAAGCATAATAAAAATTTCTCTGAAAACTTGCTTAATTCAAAAATAATGAACATTGGTTATTAGGCTTAAGTTTTTTTTTACAGGTGAATATATTTATGTTGCAGTATAATAACATTCAATAACGTGAAATCAGGTGATTTTTATTTACTAAAGACACTTTTTTTTATTAATAATAATTAAAGAATTAGCTAATTAAATTTTTTAAATTTATTTAGCTAATATCTAGGCTAATTTTAAAATCAATATATATTAATTAAAATGGTTTTGATATGTAGTAAATAATTTATAATTTACTATTATCAAAATACAATATATATATTTATTTAATACTTCACTATGATCAGTTTATAAAATAAATCAATTATTTTATGGTATTTTTAAATGATAAAAT